CGGGCGAGTTCACTGGCGAGGGGCGCATGCGTCAGTCACGCCGAGCTGTCTGCTGCCATTGCGCACCATCTTCGGCTGCACCAGGAGCGCTATGGTACCAAAGTCTGCTCTTGCACATTCCATGTGGCCACGCACCTCCCCGACATGCATCAGAAGTTTGGTTTATTATCATGCGTTTGTGCACGAGCGTAAAGACAAAGTTGTCAAGCGGTTTACGCACGCCCACGCTTGCTTGAGGCGTCCTGAGAGGGCATTGCTGTTGCAGCTGATCGCCCAGCACCGTCGCGAACATAACCTCGTCAGCGTTGCAACTGCGTTGCAGGATCCGAATTCAGCGTCTAAGACGTTGATCGAATATCTAACGCCCTTGCGCCCCCAGACGCAGACGGCTGCGTCGAGTGCAAACGCGTGCAACAACAACAATTCATCCAGTAGGAGTGGCATTGTTCTGATGGGTCGTGGTGCTGGTCACTCAGCCGTGCAGATATGGTTTCACGTGCATAGCGACGTCGGGACGGCGTCGCAATCGGAACCACTTAGCTTGATTCTGCGGTAGACAACTCGTCAGGTGCATTCAGGATGGAGTAAATACACCAACGACGAAGACCAGCAACCAGTCCTCGCGCCAACGAGCACGCTCAAGCATGCTGCAGTTTTCAGGAGGACACTGTCATCGCATGCATTTCCCACCGAATGCCACAGAGGCTGTGCCTGAGTTTCAGTTTGTTTCACTTGTCGGCGTGAGTTCACTTACTACTCTTTGTTGAAGAAACCATATGCGAATCATAATCAGCATCGCCATCATCATCATCATCAGCACCACCCCATCAACTTAAAATGGGAACACCCCTAACCTTAAAAATGGGAACACCCCTGCCACCTCAAAAAAAGTTGAAAACAATAGCATGCAAAAAACAAACTTCTATAATTCGCTATGGTTGAAGTATAACCGCTTTAACTGGTTAGTAACTCAGCTGGGCCTTGAAGTGGACGGCGCCCAATCATCCTCGAATAGATTTCCAGTTCGACCGCGTCGTCGGTTGACTTGTGCCCCGGCGCAAGCCCACGCTCAGCAGAAACGGCGGCCTCCTTGACAAGTGCCAAGTCGCCGCGTTAGGCATTGCGGAGACGAGCTCAACGCCGGGGCAGAGAAGCGCATGTGCACGAATTCCCCCCGGGGCGCGAATGACTGAGCCATCAGGGCGATCGCCGGAAAATCCATGGGGCGATCTGCCACTGTCGAGCATCCACCCGGGAGCGCGCCAGAGGATCTCGCCGCAGATGGGAGACTCTGCCCGGCGCAATGCGCGCGCCCTTCATCTGGTCGATCGCGCGCTGCATCGACTACTGGTCGGGAGGTGGGAGGTCGGTCTACCGCGCGCCCGCGACCGGGGCCTCCTGCGAGTGGGGCCTCCGAGAGAGCGGGCGTCCAGATATTTCGGATCGCCTGCAGTTGGCTCCCCTGGATGGAATGAATCTGTTTGCCTCCTCACGCAACCCTCGAGATCGCCCTCGCGCCGCGCGGGGCCTCTTCTGCGCCCCCTTTCCAAGTGCTGCGACATTGGCCTCGGGCCCCTTCGCGCGCCTAGATTCGGCGATGCCGGCCCAGGTCGCAGGGGCGTTTTTTCTCGGCAGCGCGAACGCGTATCCTTCCCGTCCAGCTCTGGAAGAACTTGTGGTCATTAGCGGACATATTGCCGTCAACTACAATCAGAAACGTGGCCGCCTCCGAAGACGCTGGGATGGCGCGCGCGGCCAGCTCGGCGCCGCTCCTCCACAAACTACCCGCGTCGCCTGTCTGACAGAAACCAGATGCGACTGGGCGTCGTCAACCTGGGCCGCGGTCGCCCTCTCGACGAAGACGCGGACGACCGCTGCGATCAGCTCTGCGGCGAGGTGAAGGCGCAGATGGAATGATTTGCGAGCGCGTATTTCAGCTTCGCCCCCCGACCGCGCGTTTCAACGTGGTCGCCGCTGGCTGGCGGGGGGGCGGGGCCGCGGCCCCCTCTCAACTGTCTCTTCTGATCGCAATCAGCGCGGCGTGATTAAATGTTTTTCATATCATGCGGCATCTCGGGCGAGTAAACCGCAACTCCGCTGCGCGGGAGCTGGCGCCGCGCCCGCGACGGGGCGGCGACCCAGATTCGATCCAACGACTGTGACTTCTCCGTGTCTTTGCAGATGTGGGCCTGGCTGTCCGCCGGCAATTCCATCGGCGAGTCGAGTGCCAATATCCACTTCGACGCCGCGAAAGTAGAACGGATTGCTGCACTCGCAGAGGGAGCTTTGCTCCGCGGTCAAAGCTGGCCCAACTTGCTGCGAGAGGCGACGTTCGCGCCCGCGGCCGCAGTCAGGAGCCGAGAACTTGGATCCTGCATTGTCCGATCCATGTCCCGCTGCAGAACACGAAGAATGCCCGCCATTTGTCTGCCCGAAAGACCATGGTCGGACGTCGTGGTGGCGTAGCTCGACATAGCCTGATTTGAAAGTGACTTTGAAGACACGTCCCCGTGGCCAAAGGCGCCCGGAATAACGCGTGCCACATCCGCTGCGCTGCGCGAGCAACAATCGCATATGGCGACGCAGAAAACTTTGGAGCACGGCGCAGCGCGGCGAAAGAAGGTCTCTGCCTGGTCCTCTGTCCGGTGCGCCTCCTGACCTGCAAGACAGGTGCGGGCCACCTCGCGGCGCCAGTAGTTGTCTGGGCATCTGCGCAAAGCCTGAGCGTTCCACTTGCAAAACTCAATCACCCGACACGGAGATCTTGCCGAGTCGCTCGATGCCCGCGGCCCGAATAGAGCGACATGCTAACGAGCTAGGACGTTGTCGACGACATCGCCCCTGCGATGGGTTGCTGACGTACTAGTAAGTTGCGCGTCAGGGAGGGAGATGGGCTGGGTGTGATGGTGGATCCTCTGCCGGGAAAGACGCTTCCCTGCCGAACCCTTGTCGTTTCAGAAGAGCGCTGTCGGTTCCCTGCAGGGACTGGGGGGCAGCCGAAACAGGGGCGCCCAGCTTTCGCAAAGCCACCCATTCATTCATTCGAAGAGCAGCTTTATGTCACCAAACTCGTTCTGCAGCTTGCCGACGAACTTCTCGCCTTGGGTCTACATGAGGATGTGGAAGGGAGACTTGTCAGCTCCTGCGTGTAACTGAATAGTTGGCCGTCCCCAGCCAGCGCTCATTGGGCCCTCATTGAAGCCATAGCCATTGGCCGAGAAAATTATACAACGAAGAGCTTGGAATGCGCCTCAGCCGGCTCCACCTTGAACGCGCCCTCGAGGTCCGCTCTCTCGAGCCAAGGTTCCAAAAACTACACGGCATTCTCCTTCTGGACCAAGCCCGGCGGGGTGACTGTGGGGATCGCGGGGTCGATGTCGAGCTTGAAAATGCGGCACTTGGGCTTCGGGGGCGGAAGGGGCCTCTTCTGGCCAACGCAAGCTCCTTCCTGATCTCTTGCGTCTGGGCCTGACGGTCGAAAATCAAATCGAGATGCCTCTGGAAATTGTCACCGTGCTCGTCCAACTCGATACTCGAAACGTCAATCTGCTTCCGCAGGCGTTTCTCGATGTCGCAAAGTAGTGTAAAATGGTTGCGGAAGCGGCGGCGGCCGCATTAGTTGATGCTTTGGAGGAAGCGTCGCTGAGCCGCTTGATTACAAGGTCGATGGGGGCCCCGGCACCGGCGGCAGCGTCCATGGCATAGGCTGCGAGGCTCTCATCGCGCTCGTGCATGAAGTTTGCCAACGTCTCGCTATTGTGGGCGCGGACGATTTTTTTTGACACGGCTGTCATGCCAGTTGTTTTGCACGATGCCGCCACCAATGCTTGAAACAACACGAACCAACCTTGCGCGCACATCGTCACCACACAAAAGAGAAGCACGACCTTGTTGGACTGCAGCAGGGGGGGTACCTTCTCCTTGCGGCAGGCACCATCAGGCATTTCGTCCGGGACGTGGCCGCGACGCACCCAAAGAGAAACCCATCCAGCTACCAGTAGCACCAGCACGCAACCGAGCGTCACCTCGTTAAGCGACTGCCCTGTGATGGTGTGCAGAAAGGAACAAACCTTAGCAGCCGCCACTGCCGTAGAGGTGAGCAAGAAGAGACTGGAGGCAACCCGCGGACCAACACGGTATCCTGTTGTTCCCCGCCAGAAACCACCATCTTGAGCAACAGTGGCTATGGAAAGAAAAGGAGGTGGAGGAGGAGGCGGAGGAAGAAGAGGAAGAGGAGGGACTTGGGATATGTACTCGGGTATGGAACGTGCCTCCGCTGCAATCGGCGGCTTGACGAACAAAGCTACGAGGAGCGTGCTTATTTGCTGCTCGCTGGGGCTTATGGGGGCCGCTTCCTGTCCCCCGGACTGGCAGGGAGAAAACTGGCTTCGGTGAACGGGCTGACCCTGAGGATGTGGCAGGACACTCTTGGGGCCAGCGCCGTGAGCAGATCACGACGTCAGGGGAGGTCTGGGCCCCGAAAAGGTCAGCCCCCGTCACTGCACGACCGGTTCGAGGGGGCGACGAGGTGCGTGGCGAGGAGGGAGGTCCGCTTTGAAGGCAGCCGAGGGGTCTAAACTGGTTGAGACCCCAGAACCTCGGCCAACAGGGGGCAGGAAGCCAAATCCGCTCAAAGTCGGCCCCTGGACCCCCATCGCGAGGTACACCTGGTGCAATTGTTGTTCGTGTCCGCGGCCTCCGGGGCCCAGAAAAGACTCCCGGAGGCCAGAGAAGGCAAAACGCCTTCCCAGGCCCAGAACCTCGAACCCCAACTCGTCCTGCTTGCCAGAGCCAGTTCGGCTACACGCAAAGAGTGACCCTAGGCAAGAGAGACCTGTGGTGCGCGGGCGCGGGGTGACCAAACCCAGGCGCACAAGCCGTTGCTACCGCTTCGCGTTTAGCGATCGGGGGGCCCCATCGGGCCCGTACCAAAGGTCACTCCAGCGAAAGGTCACTCTGACGTCTGGTCACTACCAATGCAGGGCCGCTGCTCGCACGCCTTTTTCCTTCCGGCGAGGTCGCCCGCGATGAAAAAAAACAAGCTGGCGCGCCGACGGGCGCGGGAGAAGCGGACGGAGGGGCGCGGGGAGGCGGCGCCCGAAGGGTGGCTGCGTCGCCGCCTTAGAAGCACAAAAAAAACGACATAAACATACACTGTGGGCGCTCCGCGCGGATTCCTTGGATCTTCGCTGGACACCCCTCCCTGGCGCGCAGAGCGCGCCAAGGGCGGCGCCAGAGGCGCCGCCGGGGAGGCCCATGCGCCGATCCAGGAAATCCGCGCGGAGCGCCAAAAGTTTATGTTCATGGCGTTTTTGCTTCTTCGAGCCTACCCCGCGGCCCCTCCTGACTCCGAAGGCCCCCCCAGCGTCAAGGCCTTCCCGTAAAACATGGACCCCCGTACTGTAGGGGCTCGACCACAAGAAGCCTTCCACAAGGAACCCAAACCTGAGACCCCAGGGCGTCCACTGAATTTTGGTGTGGGCAGTGGGCACGTCTCGCCATCCCTCGCAGAACCAGCGCAGCCCAAGAGACCCGGGGCGCCCTGGAGGCAAGCAGGGCGTCACTTGGCATGGGCCTCCACCGCAGGGGCGGACCCCTGTCATCGGGCCCGGGCCCCTGCCCGCAGCCTGGCCCTCTCCTCCCTGCCTCCTGCTCCGACGGCCCGGCGGGGGGGCCCGGCGAGGGCCCCCAGCAGCTGCCCCAAGAAGGACCTCGTCGGGGCTTGCTGCTGTGTGGTCACGACGCGGGGGGGGGGGCCCGGGAGGGGGAGGAGGGGCCGCCCCCGTGGCTCAGAGCACGCCTCGCGTCGGACGGCAGCGGGGAGGGGCGAAGAAGGCGGGTGCAGGCGCACGAGGTCGGGAGGCGGAGGAAGCAGATTCGTGCGCAGGCCCGCCCAGAGGATCGCAAAGGACAGCAACCAGCAGATCGATTCTTGAAGCAGGGAGGCGCCAGAGGTAAATCTGGACCTGAACTGAGCTGAGAGAAGCCGCGCCTAGGTTTGGATCTGGGACTCCAAGCAACTGAATGAAACGAGCGGCGTGTAAAGGGGGTTCAGCTAATCAGCTCGCGTAGCTGATTTCCCTGGCGCATCCCAGCGCTGTCTGGCCGACGCCCCCCGCTCCCCACTAAGATGACCGCCGCGGGGGTTGCAAGGGGGGGAAAGGGGATTGAAAGTGGATGATAAGGTATGTTATATCTGGCCTGACCTAACTTGTAAGTGAGCTGAGATTGTCCTAAGATCCCTACAACAAACAACAACATCTGGGCTGAGTGGGCGGAGCCAAATTGCCGGAGTTACCTGGTCCAAGTAAGCCACTTCGGGCACCTGCAACCAACTCATAAGCTAGGTTGGGCTTGCAACCGACCCACTTGCACTCAACCCGTATAATAAGGATACGCGGTGAGGATGCAAGATTCTTGGAACCCATGTTGATGTTTTTCGAAAGAGATTGGCCAGCGATAGTCGCTGTGTTGACGATTTGTGAACGAGGTTGGCCAGCGAAAGGCGCTAAGGATGAGCCGAGGGGGCAAGGATACAGGGGTAGCCTTGGAAAGTCGCACATCCTTACTGCGCGGGTTGACTACATCAACCTACCTCCACATCCACTTAGAACCCCCAATCCCTTTCATTCGTAACCACTGCAGTCATCCCTGTTTCGTCCGACCCGAATCCTGACGGGCCCTGGCTTCCGCTCACTTGAGGGCCGGGTTCGCCTTCGGCAGGTCCGTGTCCCACGCCGCGAGCCCAGCGCAGCCCCTGTAGCCCTCGGGGCGCACCAGCCCCGGCTTGCGGCAGGAGCCGCCCAGCGACTCGAAGAGCCTCAACGGGGGAAGAAGCACGCTGGCCATGAGCAGGAAAGACAAAACCAGGACGGGGCTAAATCCGGGTGGGGATGACTCGAGACTCTCTGAGATCCGGCGGCTCTGGAGGATGTCTCGGGCGCCGCGGCCCACCCAAAGCGTTCCGGAACGCTCCGAGAGCGTTCCGGAATGCTCTGGAACGGATTTCTCCTCGTCCTAGCCTCGCCTGAAGATGTCGCGGGACCTTGTCAGTGCCGATCTTGGTCACGGTCCGTGCTGGCCGTTGCCGATTCGCGGGGGTTGTCCAAGAAAGGGCGCTGACCAGAATGCACGGTGACAGAGATCCGCACCGACGTCTCCGCTTGAGGTGATGGTCATGGTCGCCGTCTTCGCTCCCGCCACCTGAGCTTGAGCGGGCCGAGCTGAGAGATGGGCGGGACGTCGACGCCCTTCTTCATCTCCTGGAGATGGTGTCTGTTCAGGCTCTGGCGAGTTGACTTGCACTGGGGGGGGCGTGGCGAGGCTGGAAAGGGACATCTGGACTACGCAAGTCGGGACTCGCTCGCACGCCTTTTCGGCCCAACGCTGCATGAAATGGCGGCGGATGGGGGGGCAGGGGGGGGTCTCCAACGAAAATCTGTCAAGAGGGGGGGGGGCGAGAGCAACTTCTGTCAAAATCGATCCGCAGACCTGACCAACTTGTGAGCCGCGTCCACCCATGGCGAAAAGGGGCCTAGCGGGGACCAGTGCTGGGCCACCTCAGACCCCCAGCGGGCTCCAAATCTCCTCTGTCGTGGCGCGCATGCGATAGCGGAAGCCGTTCTTCGCCAGGATCTCGAACATGGCCTTCTCCCCGACGTAGTAGCCCTCGTGGATCACGAGCTGGCCGATGCCCTTGGGCCCGATCTCGATCAGATCCAAACGCCAACCTTGCAGGCTCGTGAAAAGCTCAGAGCCCCTCGCCTCTCGCGTCATAAGAAAACGGCGACGATGAGGATGATGAGGAGGAGGAGGTCGAAGAGGCGGACCACGGAAGCGTCTCCTCTGTTTCAAGCCGCCAGGGGGACCTTGCCCGGCTCCGAAACCGTCAGGAACTGACTCGTGAGGAAAAGCCGGTCCGGGGGCAGGGGTCCCACCAACTGGGGGTCCACATCATGAAACCAAACATGACGTCGGGGATATGGCCTTAGGTCGGGCATGTCCTCCGACATGCGGATGTTGGAAGGAAACTAAAACATAATCCCAAAACAAATCCAAACATACTCAGAAGAGCACAAAACCGCGTCCCCAGACTATTTTTGCATATTCTCAACTACTCTTCCCGTGAAGGGACATGCCCGACTCGAATCTGGGCTCTAAGACGGCAGGGGGGGCCTTCTCCGAAGGGATCGGGCCAGGCCTCTTCGGAGAAGGTAGGGGGGGAGTCCTCATCACAGGAGGGGGGGCGCGCCCTCTTGGCTGGGCTCTCTCCCCCGTGGCCCGCCCCCGACCGACCTCCGACGACGTGACCGTGCCAGCCCGCGCCCCCGCAGGGGACGACCCCCTCATCCTGTGGAGACTTTTAACCCGCCTCGAACGTATCCCTATCCCTAAGATGGGCGAGCAAAAAGCGAGGACAACCTTAGGAATAGGCCCTCAAAAACTGAGGGAACCCTCAGGATCGGCATCGAGGTGGGGTGATGTCAAGCATAGGGACAGGGATATGTTCCAGGCTGGTAAACTTTCTCGTCCTGGATCCATGCCTCTTTGCCCCTGGGCCAAATGTCTGCAGCGAGCCCAGGGGGGCAGCCAGGGGGGGCGGGCCTTCTCAGGAGGCCCTCTCAAGGGAAAGCGAGGAGGGGCGGGACTGCTCGGAAGTCCCCCCGCAAGCCGTCCGAGAAGTCCTCGAAACCTCCTCCGCGGAGGCGCAGGACACTTCTCAGAAGGCTGGAGGGCTTCCGAGAAGTCCCGCCGCCTTCTGCGAAGGCCTTCTCTCACTCCCCCCGGATAGCCATAGCAAAAACAATAACAATCACACGAAACATGTTACGAATGATACTACTAAGACTCATACTACTACTACTACTACTACTACTACTACTACTACTACTACTGCTACTGCTACTGCTACTGCTACTGCTGCTACTACTACTACTACTACTACTACTACTACTACTCCTACTACTACTACTACTACTACTACTACTACTACTAACTACTACTACTACTACTACTACCACTACGACTACTACTACTACTACTACTACTACTACTACTGACTACTACGACTACTGCTACTACTACTACTACTACGACTACTACTATACTACGACTACTACTACTACTACTACTACTACTACTACTACTACTACTACTACTACTACTAATGATAATAATAATAAGATACTATTAATAGTAATAATACTAGTAATAATAATACTAATAATAATACTAATAATAATAATACTACTAATACTAATAATACTAATACTAATAATAATGAAGCTAATAATAATACTAATAATAATAAAAATAATAATAGTAATAGTAATAGTAATAACAATATTAATGATAATAATATTAATAATAATAATAACAATAATAATAATAATAATAATACTAATAATAATACTAACTAATAATAATGATGATAATACTCATGATGTTACTAATAGCAATAGAACTCGCAATAGCAATAGCACTGCGAAAAAAACAATACCAACAAGAGCACCAAGAGCACCGAGCCTTCGCGCCCCGCCAGGCTCCCGCGCGCGGGCGGCGCCGCCGGGGCGCCGCAGAAGGCCAGCGAGCCCAGGCGCAGCGCGGCCGCGGCGAGGGCGAGCGCCAGCGCGGCGCGGGTGCAGCGCGCCATGGGGCGGCGGCGCGGGTGCCCTGCGGCAGACCCCCGCGCGTCGTGGCAGGAAGGCCCGGCGGGAGGCCGAAAGCTCGGCGGCGAGCGAAGGGGGGCCGCGCGCCAGCACGGACTGGCGATCCACGGATGTGGCGACCGCGGTCGCTCAATCCGTGGATCGGGGGGGGGTGGCCTCCCCCAAGATGCGGCCGGTGCCGCCTCGTTCGGCGGCGGAAAGCCGCGAGTTCCAATGGAAGCGGGACCCGTCGCTAATCCACGCCCCCTTAATCCATGCTTGCGATCGCCTGAGATGGGGGGGGAGATGAGAAGGTGAAGTGCTCTGCGTCCTTCGGGGACGGCTCAGAAGCCTGCTCAGAAGGCTTGGGGGGGCTTCCGAGCCTCCTGAGAGGGCCCACCCTGGAACGCTCTGGAACGGATTTCTCCTCGTCCTAGCCCCGTCCGAGTCTTCGTCAGTTTCCCAACCTCGGGATGCCTTCAAACAGCTGCGCCTCGCAGAAGGCGTTCTGGGCATGCCCGAATCGTCCCGACCACGACGGAAAATTCCGGGCAATGTTTTTTCGGCCACCAGGGGCCGTCACAAGGCCTCGGGACCGTCAAACGCGACTCGGGCTGAAACCGGGTCCCTGGGCAGAGGTCCAGACGTCTGGGGGCACGTCAGAAAAAACGGGGAAACCAAGAGGTACCGATCCTGCTACTCCCCGGACCTCTCCTGGGGTGCGTTCTGACCAGGATTTCGAGGCGAATCCAGCGGTGGCGACGAGGGCCTCCCAGGAAGCCCCCAAAAAGGAAACGAGGCAAAGGTAGCGGTATGGGTACCTCTTCCTCCTCTGAAGAGTCACGACGTCGGGGGTCTGGGCTGACAGAGGTGGCCTCGACGCCAGGTGAGCGACGAAAAGAAACGGGTCTTGCGCGATTCGCAATAAAGCGCCCCGAACTCTTTGGGAGGGAACCGTCGTTGGGAGGGCCAGGAACATTAGGGATAGGGGGGCCTTTGCTAACAACACCGCCCAGACTTACCCCTGATGCAATGACGGGGACCTGATTGAGGCCACGCCTCCACTGTGTTATCAGGGTGAAGGAGTTCTCTTGTTCTCGATCATGACTATCTGCCAGACCACCCCAACGCAACCCGAAGACCCGAATATCGTGTTCCCCGACCTCCCCCTCACTGGAAACCGAGGGTAAATTCGGACCTTCGGGTTGGGTTGGGGTGGTTTGGTGGGTGATTGACACAACTGCGCAGGAAGACACAGCGACCTCACGCCGCGGCGTGCGCGGGCCCGCAGCGCGGCACACGTGCGCGGAGAGGAGTGGCCCTGACGCGCACTCGGAGGCAGGATGGGTGCCGAGCAGGTCGATTCCTGCATGCTGCGTACTCCAGATTTCGTAATAAAGGGAGGGGGGTCTCATTTCGGGGGGGGGTCTCTTCCAGGCTATCTTGGAGGGCCTGGGGGGGTCTGGGGACGATGTTTCGGAGGGTTCTCCCACGGGGGAGGCCTGAAATGGCTTGTCTTGGAGGGTCCAGACCCCCTCTCTTTTATTACGATATCTGGAGTACCCCCGCGCACCCTGACGCGGAGACCCTGCGCGCGAATGGCCCGCGCCCTCGGCCCCGTTGTTCCCTTCCGTCGCTCACGCTCGGGGGGCTCGGTGGCGTCGCCGGAGGAGGGGCGGCCGAGACCACGGAGGAGGAGGAGGAGGAGGAGGAGGAGGAGGAGGAGGAGAGACCACGGCGGCCCTCCCCGGGCGCTCCTCCGCCCTGCCCGGGGAGGGCCTCCCCGGGAGGCCTCTCGTCGCCGCGGGCCGGGGTCCGCCTGGAGGCTCGGGGCCAGGACGGGCCCGCGGGAGGGCTCGGAGCACGGGTTTTAGGAAGGCACCAACTATACACCAACACCGATCCTGGCCAGGATCACCCTGGGCCCAGGATAGGTGTATACGCTCTCCTGGCTTGCGCAAGAAGGCATATACACCGATCCTGGGCCCAGGGTGATCCTGGGCCAGGATCGGTGTTGGTGTACAGTTGGTGCCCTCCGAGATTTGCGCAGCGGGCGGGAGGCCCTCCGTCGGCGGCAGCTCCCGGGAGCCTCCCGGTACGATCTTGTCGGATTGGCGAGTCGACGCTAGATCGACGCGGGTCGCCGCTCATCGACGCTAGGTCGGCGCTTGGTCGACGCTAGATCGGCGCTGTCTCATCGACTCCCAGACGCTCATCGACGCCGATCGACGCTGCAGACGGCATTAAGAGGATATACCAGGCTCCCATGATTTGCTACCGAATCCACCGTGGTCTCAATCAGCACTCCTCCGAAGTCAGACTGGCTTGAGACCGACTGGCTGCAGTCCAGCGCACGGTGGCGGCGTGCACACATCCCTAGGGGCCAAGATCAGTCAATATCGAGGCTGGAAATCGGCTCGAATCAGAACATGCGTCGGATCGGGCAGCATCGGCACGGAGTCGAAATCGACTCGGATCGGCCGCACCAACATGCACAACAACGCCATGCGAACATCTGGCCGCATCGGATAGTCGGAACACCAGAAACGAATCGGATCAGATTGGCCAATATCGAATCGGATCGAGTACGGGACGAAACGGCACCCCGCCCCTCAAGAGCCCGCCAGGACCCTGCGAGGAGACAATCTCCATGGATGCCTCTGACTGGGGGCCGCTGGTCTTCTCGGAGAAGCCCCTCCTGCCTCCCTGAGAGAGCAGAACAAGAAACAAACATTGCAGAACCATGAACTGTCCAGGATCCGTGCGAGCTTCTTGGACCTGCGCTGGATCCCCTCCCTGGCGAGCGGAGCGCACCAGGCGCGGCGTCGGAGGCGCCGCCAGGGGTCCAGCGCAGATCCCAGACATCCGCGCGGACCTTTTGCCAACGTGCTCTGCTTCGACTTGCGAACGGCACGCCCCCCCCGCGCTGCCCCTCACCCCCCATCGGGGGTCCCACAACGGCAGGGCGACAGACCCTGCGGTGACCTCGAAATCCCACGGCACCTCACCTCACGGTCCGTCACCGCGGTCTCGAGACCTTGCAGGTCCCAGTGGCTCGAGAAATCCTCGGACGGCGGCCGCAGTCGCGAAGCCGTGCAGTTGCCCCGACTCCCCGCCGACTCACCACGCGCGGTGGTCACAGCACCGTTGTTGCCTGAGGTCCAACGTTGCCAAGATTGGCAACGTCGCGACCAAAATCACCACCCGAGCCGCAGACTCCAACGTTCTGCTGCAACCTTCGAGCCGCATCGGCGCGTGAGGATCCCGGGGCCCATCACTGTGCGAAGTTCGCCCGCTGCGGAAACCCTGCGACGCCGGGGTCTCAGGATGGCGAAACCAAAAGGTACCGATGCCGCTACTTCCGAGACCTCTCCCGGGGTGCGTTCTGATCCGAATTTCGAAGCGAATCCAAGCGGTGGCGACGAGGACCTCCTAGGAGGCCGAGAGCGGGGAAAACATGCGAAGGGTACCAGTCGGGTATTTTTTCCTCCTCTGAGAGAAGTCACGACGTCAGGGATCTGGGCTGACATAAATGGCCCCGGCGCGGGGTGAGCGTCGCAAGGAAAAGAAACGAGCCTTGCGCGATCAGCAATGCAAGGACCCCTTACCACCCTTTGGGAGGGAACCGTCGTTAGGAGGGCCAAAGGTACGGAGCGCCGGAGGGCTTGCCTTCCACCGCCACCACCCGAAGTAGGAGAAGGAGGGGGTCCTCCTCCTCCTCCTCCTCCTCCTCCTCCTCCTCCTCCTCCTCCTCCTCCTCCTCCTCCTCCTCCTCCTCCCCCTCCTCCTCCTCCTCCTCCTCCCCCTCCTCCTCCTCCTCCTCCTCCTCCTCCTCCTCCTGTCTTCTGGTGGTGGTGATGGAACACCAGCCCATCAAGCGCCGGTCACCGCCCCGCGGCGCCAGCGAGCGCGCGAACGCCCGGCCTGCTCGAGGCTGGGCCCGGGGGCGCCGAGAGGCTGGCGGGCGCGAGGCACGCCCGCCAAGAGCGACCGCGCGGGGGGGGGGGCGGTCGGCCCAGCGAGACGCCGCGCCGCGCACGCCCGAGAGGGCACGCACGGAGGCAGGCGCTCGCACGGTGGAGGTTTTTTAGGTAAGGGCGCCTCCGAGAAGGAGCCCCTCCTTCCTGCCCTCCTGGCGCCACTGTGGACAAGTCTCCAAGGGCGAGCGTGAAGTCGGGCGTGTCCCCCTGCAGGGGGATTTCCGACGAAAAAGAAAACATCCTCCAAAAATGCTCCAAAGTGGTCGAAAAATATTAAAGAACCTCCTGCAGAGGGACGGGCCCGACTTGAGGCGAGCGGGTGGCACCCAGGCCACGACAGCAGTGGCGTCCGCTCTGGCCACCGCCCCCTCTTGCAGGCGAGCAGCGGGGGTGGGCGGCCGCACAGGGCCCCTCGCGCGCCCCCCAGAGCTCAAGAGGACGTCGAAGCTGGAGGTGGACGACCTGTGACCTCAGGGATCGGACCGCGAGAAGGAACCCAGGGTCCCGCGACCGATGGGGCGGCCAAACGTGGGCCACCCACCTCGCCTTGAAACAATTAGGAATGCGCCAGGGCCTGGGCCCCAAGAATGCGTTCCTTATCCAATGCCGCCGCCGTACCGCACAGTAGGAGCTCGAACACAAGAGACCACAGGGAACCCAGCCCTGAGACCCCAGGGACCCCAGGGAGTCTATCGCAGAATCGTCGAAACCCAGGAAACCCAGGGCATCCTGGAGGCAAGCAGGAAGTCTCTTGGCAGGGGGTCCCACTGTCTGCCCTCCCTGGAGGCGTGCGCCCGCCCGCAGCATGTAACAGAACCATCCGGTGGCGTGTCGCTTCCCGAGCGGTACGGCCAGACGGCGCCCGCCACGGAGCGTGCGCCACAGGATTCCTCGGCGCGCGCGTCGCCCCCGGGGGCGGGGGGGAGGCCACGCAGTACCGGTATGCTGCGGCGGTGACGCCGACGAGAGGGCACCCGGAGAGCGGACGCGTGGCACCTGCGAGGACCCACCGCCGTCGGCGCGCCGAGGGGGGAAGGCCGACGAGGGCGGCGAGCGAGCACGAGAGCCACCGACGCGGAGCCTCCGGGGCCCATCTGAGCCTGGGCGGGCGAGGCCGTGCTCTCTACATGACCAGACTCGATGGCGAGCGCGGGCCTCAAAGAGTGACGTCCTGCAGTAAACGCGCTGCAGTCGTGGTGGTGAGACCAGCGTGCTGCAAACCAGGCGGTGCTACCTGTGTGGCAAATGCCAAGACAAAGCAATGCAGAGCAATGCAACGCATTGCACATCAGTGTACTACGATGCAAGACTATACAACGAAAAACAAAGCAATGCAACGTCGTATAACACCATGCAAAGCCATGTAAAACAATACAATGCACTGATAAGCATTGCAAAGCAAGTCTATTGTTTTGCAATGCGATTGCATTACAATGAGACTGCAATGCAACGATGTGCAAAGCAATGCAAAGCAACGCGATTGCAATGCCATTCGCTGCGAATGCAATGCGATGCAAAGTAATGCAAAGCAATGCCAAGCAATTCCAAGCAATGCCAGGCAAGGCAAACCACTACAGTACGATTGCAGTGCAACGCAATGCAACTGCAACGCAATGCGATGCATTGCGACACACACACCCACACCCACACCCACACCCACACCCACACCCACACCCACACCCACACCCACACCCACACCCACACCCACACCCACACCCACACCCACACCCACACCCACACCCACACCCACACCACACCACACACACACACCACACCACACACCACACACCACACACCACACACCACACACACACACACACACACACACACGAACACACACGAACACACACGAACACACACGAACACACACGAACACACACGAACACACACGAACACACACGAACACACACGAACACACGCGAACACACGCGAACACACACGCGAACACACACGAACACACACGAACACACACGAACACACACGAACAACACGCGCGAACAACACGAACACACACGAACACACACGAACACACACGAACACACACGAACACACACGAACACACACGAACACACACGAACACACACGAACGAACACACGCGAACACGCGCGAACACACGCGAACACACGCGAACACAACGCGAACACACGCGAACACACGCGAACACACGCGAATTCACGCGAACACACGCGAACACACACGAACACACACGAACACACACGAACACACACGAACACACACAAACACACACGAACACACGAACACACACGAACACACACGAACACACACGAACACACACGAACACACACGAACACACACGAACACACACGAACACACACGAACTCACACGAACACACACGAACACACACGAACACACACGAACACACACGAACACACACGAACACACACGAACACACACGAACACACACGAACACACACGAACACACCGGAATACACACGAAGCATCCGAACACACAGACGAACGCACACGAACACACGAACACACACGAACACACACGAACACACACGAATACACACGAACACACACGAAAACACACACGAAAACACACACGAACACACACACACACACGAACACACACGAACACACACGAACACACACAACCACACACAAACACACAACCACACACAAACACACACACAAACACACACACAAACACACAAACACACACAAACACACACAAACACACACACAAACACACACAAACACACACAAACACACACACAAACACACACACAAACACACACACACAAACACACACACAAACGCACACACAAACACACACACAAACACACACACAAACACACACACACAAACACACACAAACACACACGCAAACACACACAAACACACACAAACACACAACCTTACACAAACACACACAACCACACACAAACACACACACAAACACACACACAAACACACAACCACACATAAGTACACACACAAGCACACACAAGCACACACACAAACACACAAACACACACAAACACACACACAAACACACACAACCACGCACAACCACACACAACCACACACAACCACACACAACCACACACAAACACACACAAACACACACAAACACACACAAACTCACACAAACACACACAAACACACACACAAACACCCACAAACACCCACAAACATACACAAACACACACAAACACACACGAACACACACAAACACACACAAACACACACAAACACACACAAACACACACAAACACAACCACACACACACACAACCACACAGACACACACACACACACAAACATACACAAACACACACAAACACACACAAACACACACACAAACCCACACAAACACACAAACACACACACAACCACACAAACACACACACAAACACACACAAACACACACAAACACACAAACACACACAAACACACGCAAACACACACAAACACACACACAAACACACACAAACACACACAAACACAGACAAACACAGACAAACACACACAAACACACACAAACACACAAAAACACACACAAACACACACAAACACACACAAACACACACACACAAACACACGAACACACACACACAAACACACACAAACACACACACAAACACACACAAACACACACACAACCACACACAAACACACACAAACACACACACAAACACACACAAACACACACAAACACACACAAACACACACGAACACACACAAACACACAACCACACATAAGTACACAAACACACAAACGCACACAACCACACACAAACACACACAAACACACACAAACAAACACACACAAACACACAAACAAACACACACAACCACACACAGACACACACACAAAACCACGCAACCAAACACACACACACAAACACACACAACCACACAAACAAACACACACACAAACACACAAACAAACACACACAAACACACAAACAAACACACACACACAAACAAACACAAACACACACAAACACGCACAAACACACAAACAAACACACACACAACCACAAACACACATACAAACACACACAAACACACACAAACACACAAACACACACAAACACACACAAACACACACAAACAAACACACAAACAAACACACACACAAACACACACACAAACACACACAAACACAAACACACACAAACACACACAAACACACACACAAACACACACACAACCACACACAAACACACACACACAAACACACACAAACACACACAAACACACACACAACACACAACACACAACACACACAAACACACAACACACACAACACACACAACAGACACAACACACACACAACACACACAACACACACACCACACACAACACACACAACACACACAACTCACACAACTCACACAACACACACAACACACACAACACACATAACACACACAACACAACACACACACAACACACACAACACACACAACACACAGCACAATCACAATCACAATCACAATCACAATCACAATCACAATCACAATCACAATCACACTCACACTCACACTCACACTCACACTCACACTCACACTCACACTCACACACGCACTCACGCACTCACGCACACACGCACACACGCACACACGCACACGCACACACACACACACACACACACGCGCACGCACACGCACACACACCCGCACACACCCGCACACACCTTCACACACCCGCACACACCCGCACACACGCACACACACACACACGCACACACACACACACACACACACGCATGCACGCACTCTCAAAAAATGCGATCATGCACGCCCACACATACACACGGCCACACACGCACACATCCGCTTCGCTACCCATTGTCGCTGATCAGGGCTCTCATCCAGAGCTCAGGTTCGACGGCCATCAGGGCCAGTGCATCGTTGGAGGCGGAGGTGCTGAGCATACTCGAGGCAGGGCGTCCATTCAGCAGGGGGTCGCTCATGGATGTACGACGGTCGTCGCCCAATGCTGCTAAAACGGCATGGGCCAACTTGGGCATCATAATCTTCTGTCAGATGACCGGAAAACGTTTCCCGCAATCTGGTCCTCAAACGACCAGAACACGTTTCCCGCCTCTCGGCCATCGCAAGTGAGCGTTTTCTTATTCGGCGTTTCGACATTGGGCGGAAGGGGAGGACGGGGGGGGGCTGGCTTCGGACCCCTGCTTAGTGCAACTGTTTGCAGGGGGAAGCTTCACCTGCTCGAAACAGGCGCCAAAAACAACCACTACTCCAGGGGGTGGAGGGGGGGGTGCGATGGCCCGCTCCGATCGGCAAAACAATGAATAAAGAACGTTCTCCAACCATTGATCCTAGCATTTTATTTGCTTATACATGCTGAGTTTGGCAATCGACCAACGACGTGTAGGTTTGAAACGAGTTGCGAAACCGTGAGTTTCGCTTTGGGGGGGCAAGGACAACCTCAGCCGTTTTCCTCTGCTTGCTGGGCCCTGCCAAAGGTCCCGACGTGGCCCCTCCAACCCCTCTGAATATCGCCGCCGCCAGACCGTGGATGTACGACGGTCGTCGCCTGGTGCTGCTAGAAAGAGATGAGCTTGCTTGAACATCATAATCTGCTGTCAAATGGCCGGAAAACGTTTCCCGCATTCCGGTCCTCAAATGACTGGGAAACGTTTCCCGCAATCTGGTCTTCAATTGACCAGAACACGTTTCTCGCAGCCTAGTCCCCAAACGACCGGACAAAATTTCCCGCAATCTGGTCCTCAAGAGACTTGAAAGCGTTTCCCGCTCTTCGGCCGTCGCAGCCATTGATCCTAACATTAGTTGCTGAGTTTGGTAGTCGACCAATCACTCATTCTCATGTGGGCGCCCTGCAAGGGCTAGAATAGGCGGCGCGCCCAGGGGGGAAGTGAGAAGGGGCGGGCCGTCTCAGAAGGTTCGGAATTTCCATGGCCTTCTTGAGAAGTTCTCGCAGCCTTTCCCGAAGACGCAGAAAACTTCTCAGAGGGCGCGAGGGCTTCTGGGCAGTCCCGCCGCCTTCTGAGAAGGCCTCCTCCTTCTCACTTCCCCCCCTCGCTCGCCGCCGATTGGTTGTTGACTTTGGCAGTCGACCAATCACTTACTATCATGTGGGCGCCCTGCAAGGGCTAGAAGCTGAAGAGGCGCAAAACATTTTGGGAGAGGACGAGGCGGAGGAGGAGGAGAAGGAGGATGAAAATCCAGGAGGGGGAGGAGGGGGAGGAGGGGGAGGAGGAGGAGGAGGAGAAGGAGGAGGAAGAGCCAGGAGGAGGAGGAGGAGGATGGGGACAGGATGGCGGGGACTGGAGGGAAGGGGGCGCGTACGACCCGTACATTCGAGCCACATGTTCGGTGCGGGGAGAGGAGCGCAGGCTGCAGCAGCTCAGAATTACACAAACTGGGGTTGTGCTGGAAATAGACCCTGACTTATATTTTTATGCTTTTTGCTCTGCCGTCTATTCGAGCCATCTGCGGTGCTGTTGTCCTGGAGGAGTCAGCCAGGAGAGGAGCGCAAGCTGCAGCAGCTCAGAGTTACACCGACAGATTTGAGCTGTGAACCGACACATTGTAGCGCGGCGCCTCGCAAGAGCCGGTCGAACGCACATCTGATACTGCAGGTCCCATCTCCCGTTCCTCTATTGGGGTGCTGGGGTTGCGGAGCATTTCAGCGTCACCATTCTGTTTGGCGTCTAGCTGTATGTGAAGCCCAAATGCCGCTGTGCCGGTAGACATCCTAATTCTGGAATCCCTCGTGGTCAACCGGGCCTCCAACATCTCGTTGCGCTGGACGATGGTTGCCATTGCGTTCCGACATAATACGATGACCCTCGAGGGGTGCATCGCCTCGTATAACCCCCCACGCATGATCGACGTAGGTAGCCGGGCAGCTGCGAAGAGTCCGCCAACACTCTGCAGATGGCACAGCTCCTGGAATATGAGCTCTGCAGCTTGATGTAATCGTCTCCTGTCTATGTAGGTTGCGTGTTTGAGGAGGTCAATGAGCTCCTCTCTGCTCGTTCCAGCGAAAATCATGAACGCAGGGACCAACTTTTCTTCTAAATCGGTACGCATTGAACGGGTGTGCGTGTCCTCTTCCTCATCAGGGCTTCCGTGCGATCGCTGCGCCTTCCAGATCAGACGCGCAACTACCAGAAGCAGGCTGCCGAACAATATGATACCTATCAAGACGATCAACGCTGGTCCGACCATGGACCGTGACAGCGACGTACTGGGTGGTAGGAGGCTGAAAGCCAACGTCACAATTATAAGAACTCCAATCAGTTCGAGCGTCTCCAGCCAATTCACCAGCCTATCCAAGTAAGGAGCGAGAGACGTATGAATAACTACAAACACGGTGAGAACGATACCGAAACAAACGAGTTGCTCGAAAGGATCGTCTGTGATGGACGTCGCGACTGCGAGCAGCAACGCCCGTATCAAAAGCACAGGCCCGTACCAATAACGATCAGGCCTGAACTTAAAGAATCCGCCAACACTCTCTCGGCGTGTGTGTGTGTGTGTGTGTGTGTGTGTGTGTGTGGGGGGGTGTTGCGTTTTTCCGTTTGAATCCTCGTCGCCGTCGCAAATACACACAAATAAAAAGATGCCCCATATTTTCCTACATTTTCTGGCTTTTCGTCTTCCCTCCCACTTCCCATAGTTTCCCATATTTTGTGGGGAATCGACGATTAATTGTGTCTGTGTGTTGAGGTCAGAATCATTGATTTCCTCAAGGTTTTTGCCAGATGGTTCCGGGCTCTTGCCTTTGGAGCTACTCACGCTACCTACAGGCGGGCCCAAGAAGCCCCCCACATCGCTGCCAACGGCCCGAGCTTTCCACGAGACAGTCCGGCGACGACTTGGAGGTTCGTGAGAGCAGAGGGCTTTTTCCAGCAATTGTAACCTCCTCCCCGTGTCTGTCCTCTTCCGCTGCCCTTTTTGCTAAAGGCTCCGTGCGGAGCCATCTCTTTGTTGGGGCGGGCGGCCGGGGCGATAGTTAGGTCGGGCATGCCCCCCCCACAGGCGGAGTTTGGACGAAACATTTAACATAGTCAAAAAATGCTCGCAAACGCTCAAAAAATGCTCCTAAACGCTCCAAGCTATTTTTGGATAATTTTTGACTATTCCCCCTGTCCAGGGACACGCCCGACTTAAAGGCCATATACTTATGTCGGGCGTGTCCCCCTACAGGGGGACTTTCGACGAAAAATTAAAAATACTCCAAGAATGCCCCCCAAAGGCCAAAACATGCTAACAAAAATAGTCCCCAGACTATTTTTGGACTATGTTTGGGGTATTTGTAATCTTAATTTTAATATTTGGGGTATTTATATTTTTTCGTAGACAGTCCCCCTGTCGGGGGACAGGCCCGACTTAACCATATAGCTCGCCTGCTCGGCTCCCGGGCCAGAGGCGCGCTGGGCAGCCGCAGGGCCAGGCCTCCCCCCCCCCCCGCGCGGACCGCGACCCCCGCGGGCAGGAGAGCCCAGACTCGAACCTCCTCCTCCAACTGCTCCCCTCCTCCTCCTCCTCCTCCTCCTCCGCCTCCTCCTCTTCCTCCTCCCCCTCCTCCTCCTCCTCCTCCTCCTCCTCCTCCTCCTCCTCCTCCTCCCTCCTCCTCCTCCTCCTCCCCCTCCCCCGCCTCCTCCTGCTCCTCCTCCTCTTCCTCCTCCCTCCTCCTCCTCCTCCCTCCTCCTCCTCCCTCCTCCTCCTCCTCCTCCGATGATCGGAACGAGCCGGATCGGCGGAAAGCGGCAGCCGAGTCGGGAACGAGTCGAATCGGCGGGACTCGGCAGATCTTCGTAGGCCTCCTGGGGAACAGCTCGGAGAGCCAACACGTCGGAATCCGAGGAGGAGATGCTGCCGGAGTTCGTCGTGCGCTTGTCCAGGCGCGGCCGCAGGGAAGCAGGCGCCATCAAGCAGTGTTTCAGCGCGGTCCTGGCCAAGCACCTCGCCCTGGGCATGGGTGATCTGACCGCGGGCGCTGGGAGAGTCTGGATGGCGATCGACGGGCTCAGGCGGCGGGGCGGCGCCCCCAAAAGGAAGAAGCTGGCCGCGCCGAGGATGGTGCGATGGATCCGGAGAAGAAGCTGCAACCGGAGCGGAGCGGAGCGGAGCGGAGGCGCCGGTTCCGGGCACCGGGGGTGCCCGTGCCCTTTGGGCAAGGCGCAAGAGGCCGTGGCCTCAGACCGTGTGGGTGCTGAAACTCTGGATGACATAGTTCACGAACCAGAACAAATAGAGCGTGTGGGAGGAATAGGACAGCAACCAGCACAAATAGAATATGTGGACGAAGTAGTACAAGCTGCAACCGGAGAGGTCCTGCGAAGGAGCGGCACTTCGGGCGGCAGCCGCCACGGGTCACTTCTTTCTCCAGGGGGCGACCGGGTACGTGTCCAGCGACCAGAACGGCTACACGAGCAACGGGGGTCTGTGAGGCGTGGATGTCACGCCGAAGACAGGAGGCGAGCCAAGCAGGATCTGGCTCGCAGTAGACGAGGTGGTCATCAAGCTCCGGGCCAGCAAGACGGATCAGCAGTCGCGGAGAGTGGCGCAACCACTTCAAGGTCGAGGCGAAGGAGGGTGAGGAGGCAGAGGCTCCTCTGTGCGTAGCAGGAGGTGCTGGCCATCTATGAGGGCTGGGCAAAGGAAAGGCTCTCAGGCGTGAAGATGCACGACCCGCTGTTCGCCTTCAACGACGAGAAGGTTGTCGCGAGGGCGGACCTGCAGTTGGTGGTGATGCAGGCGGCCATGGCTCAGGGAGTGGACCCCGAACGACCTCGGCCTCCACAGCTTGAGGATCGGGGGCGCGTCTGCCCTGTGCGCGGCGTTCAGGGGCGCGGCGCTCGCGCAGCGGTGGGGGCGCTGGAACTGCGACGCGCCCCAGGGGTACCTCTGGGAGGCGAGGGGCACGGCGCAGGGCGTGGCCCGCAGACCATGGTCTGAGGAGCAAGCGCAGCGGGGGGCCTCGGACATTCGGGCGCAAGGGCAGCCCGGGCGGCCGCGCAGGCCGGGAGCCGTGGCGCAGGGGGGCCTCCGTGAGGTGCGAGAGGCGGCGGCCCCGAGGCTGGCTGCAGTGGTGCAGGCCGGATTGCGCGGGGGCACGGCTGCGGAGTCGGGCGGGGGCCCTCGAGGCGGGCCGCCCCGCGGCCCGGGCGGCGGCGGCCAGCGGTGGCAGGGAGGCGGCAAGCTCCAAGAGCACCGGGGGGGGGCCGTCGCCCGGGCGCGGAGGCAGAGGGCCTCGCGCCGGGCGGGCGAGCTCGCGCCCGAGAGGATCGGGCGCCCCGTGGCCGTTGGCAACAAGGAAGCCCCATCCTCCTCGTCGTCGCCATCGGCGTCGTCGTCGGGGAGAGGAGGGGCAGCCTGAGTGGCGAGCGCGCTGCGCGTGCTGGCGCCGCGATCCGCTCGAGGTCAGGAGGCGAAGGCAAGAGGGGGAAACCCAAGAAGGCCTCGCGACGATCCAAAGAGGCCCCAAGACGGCCCGAGAGGCATCTCAAGACAGCCCAAAAAGGATCCATGACGGCCCCCGCAAGGTCTCAGACGCTCCAAGACGGCCCAAAGAGGTCCCGCATATCGCCCCCAAACGGCCCGAGAAACGCTGCAGACGGCCCCACGACGCCCAGGAGGGCCCCAAGACGGGCCAAGAATGCCCCTTGACGACCTGGAAGGCCCCCCAACAGAGACTAAGAATGCCAGAATGGCCCCCGCGAGAGCTCGCGAGCGTCGTCGTCGTCGTCGTCGACGTCGTCGTCGTCGTCGTCGTCGTCGTCCCTCTTCAGGGTGGGCGGCACCGGCTGTAAGGCCTTCAGAACAAGAACCTCGTTGCCACCCAAAAGCCGTCTTGGCCAACGGCAAAACGCCGTGGAGCCTGCGCGATGCACCACATGCACGCGGCCGTCGGCCCTACAACGAACAGGAGCGTAGAGCTGACCGAGAGAGTCAACATTATGGTATATTCGGTCCCCTGGCACATCACTCCAGGATAGTGCAGGACTGTTGACACCCCGTTCGGGTGCGATTCGCACCTGAAGGGGGAAATCGATGCCAGTGCGACCGTCACGAACATCGCCTGCATAATCAGCCCCCAACTGTTCACCGTGTGCGCGAAAGACATCCCTGGACACCGTCTGATCTTCTGGTAAACCAAACCTGCTCCCCACCACAATATCAAAGTTATGGCAAAAAAGAATGGGACCAAAATCAATGCCAGATATTTGGCCTTATCATCGCGAATCCCACTGCAATTCATCTGTAGGGGGGTGAAATCAAAAGCAACTAAAGTCGTCAATGCCACAATCAAGGAATTGACCTCGGACGGCCAATCGATGCGAAGTTGGCCCAGGGCGCCGAGTTGCTGCGTCAAACTCCAGCAAACTCCGAGTGTAAGGGAAGCTTGAGCTGTCTCCGCAGCTTCCACGTGCTGGGCTTTGCTGTTCCACATAAGGTGTAGGCAACCAGTGGCGAGGATCCGACAATTCCCTTTTGTGGGTCACAGGCTGCGCAGCAAACATCTCATAACCTCAACTTTACGATTCACGCGTGTTTGGCAATGTTCGCCAGCATGAACCCCCAGCCGTGGTTTTCTTATACTCTCGATGTGCAACCTTTGCGGTGCAAGAGGTGCAGCCCGTATGTTGGAATCCACACGGATGCAATCACTATGGCGCAAGCCATGAGGTGCAACCTTCCCGACATAATGCATGCGCTGAGGGCTTCTGTCTGTGATGGGCAGGCTGGATGTATCAAGTGTTCGGCTGGTGGGCACCCGTTGGCGTCCCGTCCTGGCTGGGCGTTCCGATTTTTTGCCCGGTGTGCGCCTCTTGATGGCCGGGCAAGCAATGGTTTCGCCCTGGAGTTTCGTCCCTTGAGTTTTCAGCACGATCCCGTGACATTTACAACTATAAGACGTCCTTGTCATACCATGTATTTTTTACGGTACACATGCATGATGCCATCATTTGCCATCGTATAAGACAGTTCGATATGTATATATAGATATATGTATATACGTAGCACCCCGCAATTGCGGATAAGAGTGAGGGGGCGGGCGCGGGCGACGCGGGCGTCGTCGAGCCAGCGGACCTCGTGGCTCCCACCTTCCCTGTCGATGGCGCTCTCCTCCTCCTCCTCCTCCTCCTCCTCCTCTTCCTCGTCCTCGTCCTCGTCCTCATCGTCATCGTCATCCTCCTCCTCCACCTCGTCCTCCTCCTCCTCTTCTTCCTCGTCCTCCCTTTCCCCCCTCGTCCTTCCATCATCGTCCTCCCATTGTCGTCCTCCCCCTCATCGGCCTCCATCATCGTCCTCCCATTGTCGTCCATCATCATCCTCCTCCCCCTCCTCCCCCTCCTCCCCCTCCTCGTCCTCCTCCTCCCCCTCCTCGCCCTCCTCCCCCTCCTCGTCCTCCTGCTCCTCGTTCTCCTCGTTCTCCTCGTTCTCCTCCTCCTCCTCCTCCTCCTCCTCCTCCTCCTCCTCCTCCTCTCTCTCCACATTCTCCTTGCATCCTCTCTTCTTCCGCGTCCTCCCTGTCCCCTGTTTATTCCTCCTGCCTCCCCCTGCTTTCCCACGATAACGGCAACGCAATCCTTTTTTCCACTTTATGCTCCCCGACATCTCTGATCAAGGCAACTCGCCAGGGCAAAGTTGCTGGACGGGCTGGTGTGGATGCGCGGGGCTTGAAGAGGTCGTTGCGGGCTCAGACGGCATGCAAAAATCCGCCGCCGCGCTTGTGCGGCACTGGTTTGTTCAGTGAACGTGGTTTGGGTCGCGGGTGGGTCGCGGGCTCTCCACCTCCACCTGGAAGGAATGCACAAGCAGCCCGCCGCAGGCGCCGACAAATTTGGTTTGTACACTGAACGTGATTTGGGTCGCGGGTGGGCCGCGGGTTCTCCACCGGGAACGAATGCAAAAGATGCCCGCCGCAGGCGCCGAACAATTTGGTTTGTACCCTGAACGTGGTCGCGGATGGGCCGCGGGCTCTCCACCTGGAAGGAATGGAAAACACCCGCCGCAGGCGCCGAAAATTGTGGTCTGTACCTTGAGCGTGGTTTGGGTCGAAGGTGGGTCGCGGGTGGGTCGCGGGGTGGGTCGCGGGTGGGTCGCGGGTGGGTCGCGGGTGGGTCGCGGGTGCGCGGGTCGCGGTCGCGGGGTGGGTCGCGGGTGGGTCGCGGGGTGGGTCGCGGGTGGGTCGCGGGTGGGTCGCGGGTGGGTCGCGGGGTGGGTCGCGGGGTGGGTCGCGGGGTGGGTCGCGGGGTGGGTCGCGGGTGGGTCGCGGGTGGGTCGCGGGCGGGTTGCGGGGTGGGTCGCGGGTGGGTCGCGGGTGGGTCGCGGGGCGGGTTGCGGGTGGGACGACAACAACAAACAACAACAACAACAAACAACAAACAACAAACAACAAGCAACAATCAACAAGCAACAAACAACAAACAACAAACAACAAACAGCAACCAGCAAACAGCAAACAGCAAACAGCAAACAGCAAACAACAAACAGGAATCAGCAAACAACAAACACCAACAACAGCAACAACAGCAACAACAACACCAACAACAACAACAGCAACAGCAACAGCAACAACAACAACAACAACAACAACATCAGTAACAACAACAGCAGCAGCAACAACAACAACAATAATCCGCACCGCGGAATCCCACTTCGGCCACGCACCAAGGGACAGTGAATGACCGTTCGGCCCCTCACTCTGATATATATATATATATATGTATGTATGTATATGTATGTATGTACACACACGGACAGCAACATCTGCACCTACATCTAGAGTTTGTGCGCCTGCAGCGGATGCAGACACGCGCGCGCATGCGCAAGCAACCGATGATCGCGAGAGTAACAGACGCACCCGATGCGAACGTGACCCGGCTCTTCCGCGCCCGGCCCCAGGACGCCCCCCAGGGGCGGCAGACGGGGAAGGCCTCGACTGCCGCGCGCCTGCTCTCGGCGCACCGGAGCTCCAGCCGAAACGATCCCGAAGAGCTGCGGGCGAGGCGCAGGTGATGAGACGGTGCCCGATCAGGGCATGTCTGCACCGAACTCCCCTAAGGCGCCGTCCCAACCAACCCCACTGAGCTCCATGGGCGTGGCGCAGCTGATTGGACAGGCCCCTCGCCGCGATCGTCGCGGCGCGCGGCCGATTTTTCTCAGACGAGCCAAACAACAATTCGACATGCGTGAAGTCAACAGTCTCGCAGCGCACCCGCCAGCGCCTCAACCCCAACAGGGGGCGGGCGAGAGCTAGGGGCGCGGGGTGCGGAGCGCCCCGAGACGCCCGCTGAAGGCATCACCCAGCGCCCCTCCTCTGAAATATCTGCGGCCCATGACTTCCCCGATTCCTGTCTCTCCCCCCCATTCCTCAGCGCGTGAGCTGCGAAATGTCGCCCTTCGCTACGGGCGGCTGGAAAACCGTCCAGCGCGCGGGCTCCAGTTGACGACCCAAGGCAGCTGGCGTAACAAGTATTCGGGGACATGAAGCGGATGGGAGGAATCCCGCAATCCCAATGGCGGCGCAAACTGCCGACAAAAGATTCGATATCGCAAAAGCACCGTGCCTCCTATGCGGCAAACCTCGAGCGGTTCCTAGTGGCGGCCAATTTCTCCATCATGGACATCTTCTTTCTGCCCGCCGCGCCCGCGTCCTCGGAAGCGCTCGGGCGCCCGTCGCCGCCGCCGCGGGCGCCCCGGAGGTGGGCGCCCCTGCGGGCGGATGATGCGCGGGCGGAGGAAGCGGGGGCCCGCCGCCAGCGTCTTCGGCCATGGTCCCGCCGCCGGCATGCTCCTGCACCAGAGTCTTTGGCTCGAGCGGCTGGTCAAGGCGAGTGCCATGTTTCCGAGGGGATCCGCTCTGCGGTGATCTGGTCCGGGAGTTGGATCTTCGACGGCTCCGAATCTTCGACGGCTCCGCGGCCTTCCTCAAAGCCGGCGCCTGCTTCTCCGCCTCCGGCTGCGACGGCGCGGCCCCGGGCTGCGCCTTCGTCGGCCTGCGAGCGGCGTGGGCGAAACCGGCCGTCTCGATGCCCAGGTCGCCCGCGACAGCGCTGTCCGTTCTGACGTTCGGGCTGGTCAGGGGCGGCAGGTCTAGAACTGCGTCGCCGCGATTGACCCGCTCCGCCTGCATCTGGATCTCCGCGGCGAGCGGGGCAATGCTGGAATGGTTCGTGCTCGCATGAAGCCATGCATATCGTCGCGCGCCGCGGGCGCGCGGCGCGCCCCGGGCTGTTGCGGGCGAGGCGCTCGATGGCGTGGTGGCGACGACGGGGGCTGAGGTCGAGGAGAAGAGAAGGCGTCCGAGGACCTTCGCCGCCCCCTCCTCCCGCCGTCTGCTGCGGCTGCCCCTTCCTGTCTCTCCGTCTATCAGCTGTCTGATTGCGAGCATAAGCGCTTCATTTGTCATTCGACGGCCTCTACGGCCGCCGCGAGAAGTTGGCGGGGCGCGAGGTGCTGGCAACCCTATCATGTCAATTGGGTGCTGCTTCTCTCCCGAAGTAAGGGCCGCGGCGCGCGAAGTGGGGGGCCGGGCCCGGTCGCCTCGCAGCCTGAACCGCCGCTTGTCTGCGGGGGTTTGGTCTTGTAACCTCCGCGGGGCCATTGCTGAAAACGCATGCGTTCCCTCGGCGGTGCCTGTCCCGGGGCCTCGGGGCTCCCCGGGGCGCGCGGGGGGCACCTGGATCGGATGCGGCCGTCGGCCGAAAATCCCCGGCCGCGCCGACAGCCCATCCGGCTCCGCTCCACTCCACTCCGCGCCGCTCCTCGTCCTCATCCTCTCCTGCCCTTTACGCCCCTCCTGATCTCCCCGGCCCGCCCAGCTCGCCCGTTGGATTTCGGACCTTCGAGAATCGTGCTGCGCGGGGCGTCCAGATCAGCCGCGTCCCTACCTGGGAGTGGGGCCTCCCTCTGCCGGGTCGCGTAGATGCAACTGGCGATGGCTGGGGCGCTGGAGCATCGTGCTTGAACCCGCTGAAGTCCCCAACAACGTCGAAGAACTTGTAAATCGCGACGTTGACCGCGGCCTCCAAACTGCCGAACAGGAGGGTCACGCAACAAGAAGAGCGCGCCAACATCTCAACGGGGCCAATTGCTCCCCACTCCGCCTCGCCGATCCTGATGGTGCAGCTGGCGTGAGGGAGCAACTTCTGCTGCGCAGGTCCGGAAGCCATGGGCCACGGTGAGATATCGTAATATTTGATGGCCGCCGGGGGCCTCTTCGCCTCCTGAAGTGCTTTGAACGCCGAAGTCGTCCATGTCCATTGTCGCTCGGCCAAAGCGCTGGACGCAGTCGCAAACGCCCTGAGGCCACGCGCGTGCCCGTCGACCCTTTCGCACAAGAGCATCGATTTTGGCAGTGTGCAACAAGGCGCTCGTCGCGACCAGGGCTGGGGGCCACTTCGTTGAGCTGACTGCTGCAATCTGCTTCGTCGGGGTGGCCGATTTGGTCACCGAATCGTCGTCGCTCTCGGTTCCAAGCCTCTTCGAAAGGTCGACTGCCGCGTCGTTCGATAGCGCGCGACCGCTTAATGCAACGGCGAGACCTCGCTTCCCGCAGCCACTGCCTGTGGCCCGCGTCCCAGTGCGCATCCCCGCCTGATCGGTGACCGCGATGGGCGCTCCCCAGCGCGCCGTTGAGAGCGACAATGTCAACCTCGATCTCCGAATCATTCATCGCATCTGCGCCCTGCAACGGCGGTGGAACGGAGGTCGACTGGGAGAAACAGCCTGGTGCCCAAATGGCTACGCGATGGGGTCTAAGGGTGGCTTGGATGTCGGAAGATCTTCTCGTCTTACTGTCATAATGTCTTAGGGTCCTGGGGTCTTAAGGTCTTAGAATCATCAGGACTTGCCGTCCTATGGTCTTAGGGTCCTAGCGCGTTAGGGTATGAAGGCCCTCGGGGGCGGAGGGAACTGAAGGAAATTGCGATGGGGGCGCGTTTCGTGGGTTGCACCCGGGCCAAAAAACTTGCAAACTGCCGAGTAGGGCCTCGCGAAAGCGGGAGTAAAGACGACCCAGGAGGCTTGGAGCCTGGAGACGGGCCACGCGCACCAAGACAGCGCATAATGATTTAACAGGGGGCGTCAAGACGTCAAAGTCCAGTCAAGGATGACTTCCCTGAGCTTTCTCGCCTTTTCGAAACCCCATACAGCCCAGGACGGCCTCAGAGGCCCCCCCCGTAAATGCTAAAAATGGGGGGGGGGGGGCGTCAGGCACCTGTGCGAGAACGCCCCAGTCGCGGGGCGCGCCGCCATGTGAAGTGCGCCCCGCTTGTCCTACTTGCCGCGCCCGCCCGCGTGGGCTCAAACGTGGACGTCTAGGAATCGGGTACCAGTTGCCACACTAGCCCAACTGGGCAAAGTGGAGCAAATGGGACCCGGTGGGGCGATTGGGGCGCAGTACAAATACCGTGGCAGCGTTGCATGTCCATATATATATATATATATATATATATATATATATATATATACATACACAAATATATACGCATATATGTATACACATGTCTATATATCACAGTGACGGGGCTGAACCGAACCGAACGGTCATTCACTGTCCTTGGGTACGTGGCTGAAATGGAATTCCGCGATGCGGATTCTTGTTGTTGTTGTTGTTCTTGTTGTTGTTGTTGGTGGTGGTGGTGGTGGTTTGTTTGTGTTTTTGTTTTTGTTTTTGTTGTTGTTGGTGTTGTTTGTTGTTTGTTGTTGTCGTCCCGCACGAAACCCGCCCCGCGACCCACCCGCGACCCACCCCGCGACCCACCCGCGACCCACCCGCGACCCACCCCGCGACCCACCCGCGACCCACCCCGCGACCCACCCCGCGACCCACCGGCGACCCACCCCGCGACCGACCCGCGACCCACCTCGCGACCCGCCCGCGACCCACCCGCGACCCACCCACGACCGCAACCCACCCCACGACCCACCCGCGACCCACCCGCGACCACCCGCGACCCATCCCGCGACCCGCCCGCGACCCACCCCGAGACCCCCGGCGACCCACCCGCGACCCACCGGCGACCCACCCGTGAGCCACCCGCGACCCACCCGTGAGCCACCCGCGACCCACCCGCGGCCCACCCGCGACCCACCCGCGACCCACCCGCGACCCACCGACCCACCCAAATTTTTCGGCGCCTGCGGTGGGCTTCTTTTGCATTCGTTCCAGGTGGAGAGCCTGCGTCCCACCCGCGACCCAAACCGCGTTCAGTGCACAAATCAAAACTTTCGGCGCCTGCGGCGGGTTGATTTTGAATTCCTTCCAGGTGGAGGTGGAGAGCCCGCGACCCACCCGCGACCCAAACTACGTTCACTGAACAAGCCAAAACTTCGGCGCCTGCGGCGGGTTTCTTTTGCAGTCGTTCCAGGTGGAGAACCTGCGACCAAAACCGCATTCAGCATACAAATCAAAAATTTCAGCGCCTGCGGCGGGCTGTTTTTGGATTCTTTCTAGGTGGAGGCGGAGAGCCCGCGACCCACCCGCGACCCAAACTACGTTCACTGAACAAACCAAAAATTCGGCGCCTGCGGCGGGCTGTTTTTGCATTCGTTCCGGGTAAAGGAGGGGGGACGGAGGGGGACGACGAGAAAGGAGGGAGGAGGAGGGGAAGGAGGAGGACGACGACGACGGAAAGGAGGAGGGGGGAGGATTGGGATGGGGGAGGAAGAGCAGGAGGAGGAGGCGGAGGAGGAGGAGGAGGAAAAGGAGGAAGAGGAGGAGGTGGAGGAGGAGGAGGAGGCGGACGACGACGATGACGACGATGACGACGAGGAAGAGGAGGAGGAGGAGGAGGAGGAGGAGGAAGAGGAGGAGGAGGAAGAGGAGGAGGAGGAGGAGGAGGAGGAGGAGGAGGAGGAGGAGGAGGGCGCCATCGACAAGGAAGGTGAGGGCCACGAGGTCCGCCGGCTCGACGCCCGCCTCGCCCGCGCCCGCCCCCTGCCTCACTCTTATCCGCAATTGCGGGGTGCTACGTATATGTGCATGTGTATGTGTATGTATGTACATCAAGGGGGGCCGAACAATCATTCACTGCGCGAGGCTGCGGTGCGGATTGCTAGTGCTATTGCTGTTGTTATTGTTTGTTGTTTGTTGTCGTCGTCCCCCCCGCGACCCACCCCGCGACCCACCCGCGACCCACCCGCGACCCGGCCCGCGACCCACCCGCGACCCACCCGCGACCCTTCCCGCGACCCGCCCACGACCCACCCGCGACCCACCCGCGACCCACCTGCGACCCACCCGCCGCGACCCAGCCCGCGACCCACCCGCGACCTACCCGCGACGACCCACCCGAGACCCACCCCGCGAACCACCCACATTGCTTCAACGGCAAAATCGGCGTTCGCGGCGAGCTCTTTGTACCATAAAGCGCCTGCGGCGGGCTTCTTCAAAGCCTCGCAGAATGCCGACGTCTCCGCCGACCCCTCACTCTTATACGCAATTGCGGGGTGCTACGTATACCTCACGAACACACACGCACACACGCACACGCACACGCACACGCACACGCACACGCACACACACATTCACACACACACACACACCTTCACCACACAAACGCAACGCAACGCAACGCAACGCAGCGCAGCGCAGCGCAGCGCAAGACAAGACACAACACAACAAAACACAGCACAGCAGAACACAGCACAACACAACACACCACACCACACCACACACATTTGTATATGCAGATGTATCTGTGTACATATATGTATATGTGTATATTTGTAACTATTTTCTAGAACATATAACCTATGCTTTGAGATAATTGTGTTTTCGGTCTGATATCGTGAAGTGGTGGCACAAGCGAGAACGCCAATTCATTGGGCAACAACCAATGACATAAACATAAAAACCTCGAGATCCGCGCGGAGTCCTTGGGCTGGGGCGCGATCCCCTCCCTGGCGCACGCAGCGCGCCAAGGGCGGCGCCAGAAGCGCCGCCAAGGGGTCCTGGCGCCGATACAAGGAATCCGCGCGGACGTCCGCGTCTTCATGCTTATGCCATTGTTTGTTCCCCTATTTTGTATGTTCACTCCTTATGCTCCCATGGCTGTTTCCGCCGCGGTTTGCTCAAACTTCGGCACAAGGCTCGTGGACATTGCCTCGAAGAATGGGGGCTGCGGCGGCTCGCCCGAGGCGTCATCGACGATCGCCGAGCAAGCCGCCGGAACCATGAACTTGGCTGTCGGGTCACACTTGCTGCACGTGCCGTCTTCAGCTGGCGCGTAACCTGGGGGAACATCAATGAGATGGACATCCAAATTCGGAGGTCCGCGCGGATTCCTCGGGTCGGCGCTGGGCCCCCCTGGCGGCGCTTCGGGCGCCACTCCTGGCGCGGTCGGCGCGCCGAGGATGGGGGTCCAGCGCCGACCCGAGGAATCCGCGCGGACCTCCGAATTGGAATGTTCATGTCCTTGTTTGTTCAGTGGGTAACCGTCGACGCACTCTGTGCACGCGAGACTTGAGTTCGCTCGATTGCTGCTGCACGCTCCAGGCGGTCCACCAGGGCAACGTCTGTGATTACCGAAGCATTTCCACACGAATGCTGCGGGATCGTCTGAATTCATCGCAGAAGCAGGGACGTAGTAACCAGGTTTGACGGAAAGAGCAGCGTACCTGCCGATCTGGACGTCTGCTCCTATTGCCATTACCGACGAAGCACCTGCCGGGCATTCGATGCCCGTGGGGCAGGGTTTGCAGGTGTCAGCAGCGTCGTTCAAGTACTCGATGCCCACGCGGCAAATCCGACTACCCTGTCGGCGTGTGTGAAGGGGAGTTCTGGCTGCGTGGGCCCCGGGTTTTCCTAAGAGACGATCTTTCATTCGATCTGCTCTTCCATTACTGGAGACTCCCCCGAGACCCTGCCTGGCAACAACTTCGTCAACTCGAGGTATTATCAAGCCACGCCATGATCGAAGTCTTAATCGAGTCGAAATGGAGGCCCTTCCCTCTGATCCTTTCCCCACCTGGAGGGGGGGTCTTGCAAGAGAAAAACATCGACACTGGCGAAGACGACCTTTCGCCAACCGAACCGTGTCTATCCCGGCCTTCCTCGCTCACTCACGGCGAAATTGCACCTTTCGCCAGCGGAATGGTGTTTTCGCTGGCTGTCTGAAAGCGCGCTCCCGAGCCTCCGCAGAAAAGCGTCTCATATTCCGCCACCGCTCCAATGGAGGACCCTTAAGGGCTACACTGAGGGAGCCTGCAGGATCAACATCAACTGGGGGGTCCTGGGGGGGGGGTCCTGGAGGGGGGTCCCGAGGGTGTGTCCCAGGGGGGTGTCTCAGGAAGGTGTCCCGGGGGATGTCCCAGGGGTTGCCCCGTCGGGTGCCCCGTCGGGAGTCCCCTGGGGGGGTTCCCGAGGGTATGGGGGGTCCCAGGTCAGGACCTGGTCCCCCCCATACCCTTTGTGCTTATTGGGATGCTTCGGGAAAATTTGGCCCTCCTTCGGCAAATCAAGCCTATGATGCTCGCCGACCCTGTCGGCGTGTGGAAGAGGCTGTTCCGTTTGACTCGTCCTCGTCGTCGTCGTGGTCGTTGTTGTCGTCGTCGTCGCTGTCGCCGTCGCCGGTCCCCTCCCTTTCCCTGAGCCTGGCGCCGCTGCCTCCACTTTCACTGGGCCCTCCTCCTTGAGCGCGCCAGCCACAGCGAAATTGAGCAGCGCTGTAGTTGAGTCGAAGGGAAGCCCCTTCCCTTTGATCCCTTCCCCGCCGGGAGGGGGGGGTCCCGGGGGGGGTCCCGGGGCAGGTCCCGGGTCAGATACGACTCCCCTCTGGGCGGTTCGGGAGCCCAGACAATCCCCAAGACGTAGCAAAAGTGTCCCGAGATGCCCCCAAGAATGTCCTCGAGGGACCCGAATCGCTGAAGTATCGGTCCAAGTCGCGACAGCCTCCAGACAGCTTCTGAAGTTCCCACTCCAAGGGCACTCCCAAGAGGGCCCCAAGGAGCAAAAATCATAGATTTCCATCAAGTTTTTGAAAGATTTCGGCATTCTCGCCTCGTCAGCTTCCCGATGCTCCAAGACAGGCCAAGAAGCCCCCAAGACCGCTCCAATATCGCCCAAGAGGCCTCCAAGAGAGCCCCAAAAGGACTCAAGAGGGCCCCAAGACCGACCAAGAGGCCTCCAAGACAGCCGAAGAGGCCCCCAAGACGGCTCCAAGGAGGAGCCCAGACGGGGGACCCGAACGGACATTTCGAGCCCTCGGCCTGAGAAGCTCTCAGGAGGCCCCCAGAGGTCCCTAAGAAGCCCTGCAAGAAGCCCCCAAGAGACCCTCAGAGACCCCAAGAGGCCCCCACGAGGCTTCCAAGCGGCCCCCCAGAGCTTCCCAAGAGGCCCCCAAACTACCCCGAAGAGGCCCCCGAGAGCGCTCGTCGTCGTCGTCGCCATTCAGGGTCGGCGGCACTGGCCGTAAGGCCTTCGCAATCAAACCTATGATGCTCGAGGAGGGGCCCCAGAGGGCTTCCAGACGGCCCAAGATGCCTCCAGGACGCCCCAAAAGACCTCCAAGTGCACTCCCAATTTTCGGCGTCCCGACGCTCCAGATCGGCCCAAGAGACCCAAAATATCAGCCCAAGACGGCCTACGAGCCCGTCAAAAAGGGCGCCGAGGCGGCCCCAAAATGACCCAACGGTGCGAACACGAACCGACATGTCGAACTTACCGCCCCAAGAATGTCCTGGGAGGCCCCAAGCCCCCAAGAGGGGCCCCAAGAGGCCCCCTACTACCCTCGTCAAAATTAACTTCAAAAATGGCGACTACGCCCCTGCGATGTCGGCGCGCCCTTCAATGTTGATAGACGCCCCTCCCATGTCGGGGCCAGGGCAAAAGTGGTCTGACCGGGAACGACTCGGAAGTTCGATGATGACCGACACTGGAGGGGCGGCGCATACAAGTACCTCACAGTCATCGCTACTCTGTCCAGTATCTCCCCACAGACAGTTCAGCCACGTAAGACATTTTTGAGGTTACACGTCGGTCGGAAGAAGTAGGTAAAAACATGAAGTAGGAAGACGGATTCAGTTGATTGGGTCCAGGCCCTCCCAGAGAATAACAAAACACAGCAAAAGCGTGACGATTCTTGAAGTAGGAAGGCGCTTGAAGTAGATTGGGATCTGGGAATCCAAAAATACCTACTTTCAACGACCGGCGTGTAATTTTGACGAGGGTTGTAGGAAGCCCCGAGACGATCCCCAGAGGCTCCCAAGCGGCCTCCCGGCTGCCTCCAGAGGCCGCCGGCAGCCCTCCGGAGAGATCCCAGGAAGCACCCGTGAGGATGCAGACCCACTGCCCAGGCACGGTGGCGGGATGGCCCGCAGGCCGCCCCTAGTCGGGCGTTGGCGGGACTGGGTTTAGTGGGACCTGGTTCAGTGATGTGTATTGGGGACGAAATCTATACATATCCACTGCTCCCTGGCCAGGCCCATCCTGAACCCAGGAGCTGTGTATACGCCCTCCTGGCCAAACCAGGAGGGCGTGGCGTATACACAGCTGCTGTGTTCAGGATGGGCCTGGCCAGGGAGCAGTGGATATGTATAGATTGCGTCGCCCTATGGGGAACGCCCCCCCCGCCCCATTCCACTAACCGGAGTTGCCGTCACCCGAAGAACACCAGCTACGGCAAACCTGGTTTAGTGATTCCAACCCATCTTTTGGGCTTCGGGGCCCAATCACTAACCGGCTCCCCTTAACCGGGGTCCCGGCTATACCCGACCTAGATCCGCCGCGCCCTGTTGGCTTGCTGCAGGGGTGCCTGGCGTGCTAAATCCTGTGTTCGGGGGCGCGCAAACATGGACTGGCGATCCGTGGATGTGGCGCGCGGTCGCCCTGGGATCGGGAGAGGCGCCCTCCCTGAATGCGGCCGGTGCCGCCTCGCGGGACATCTGCGATTTCCCACGGAAACGGGACCCGTCGCCAATCCACGCCCCCTTGATCCAAATTTGCGATGGGCCGAAATAGTCGGCTGGATTTTTGCTCTTTCTCCCCAAAATTAAAGCGCTCCCCCTGGGGCTTCGGCCCCGCGCGCCGGGCCACCCGGCAAGGTTCCCCAATTGCGTGTCCCGTTGCCCAGACCGCCTCGAAGACGGCCAAGATGGCCTCCAAGACGCCTCCAAGACTGCCAAGACGGCCCCATGAGAGCCCCAAATGGCCCCAAGATGCACTCAAGACGGCCCAAGCCAAGAGGCTCCCAAGAGGCCTCGAAGAGGGCCCCCAAGAAGGCCCGAAGAGGCAAAAATCATTGATTGTTCGTAGGTGTTTGAAACATTTTGGCATTCGTTTCTTTTCGGCCTTCCGACAGCCCGGGGACGGCCCAAGAGGCCCCCTTAGACCTCCCAAGAGGCCTCCAAGATGGCCCGAGAACGGCATCCAAGACGGCCCTGGAGCACCCCAAGAGGGCCCCAAGTCGACCCAGAGAGGCCCCCAAGACGCCTTCCGACAGGGTCAGACGGGCCAGGAACGCCCTAAGACGGGCAACGAAGCCCCCGAGAAGCCCCCAAAGACCCCAAGAGGCCCAAGGAGGCCCCCAAGATGCCCCCAAGAGGCTCCCAGGAAGCTCCCAGGAGGCCCCCCAGAGGCTCCTGAGATGCCCCCTCCTCCTCCTCCTCCTCCTCCTCCTCCTGATCTTTCCCGCCATCCTCCTTCAAATGTTCCCCGAAGGGTTTCCACAATGGCTGGGGGAACACATGGTCAGATAGCTTGGCAGAGCTCTTGCCACAACACAACGTTCGGCAGCATGGGCTATTACAGAAGGCAGGGGGCGGCGGTGCTTCGCCGTAGGCGTCTTCGATCCGCCGCCCCCTGTGGTCTTGCCACAAGGGTGCCCGGCGTGCTTAATTTCAAATGAGTTCTGGTTCTTTTTAACACTCCCCCTGGGGCTTCGGCCCATCGCGCCGGCCACCCCGAAAGCTCCCAAAGTCCAAGATGGCCTCGATACCTTGAAGTCCGTTCAAGAAGCCACCAATACTGCCCAAGATGGCTCCAAGATGTCCCAAGACGGCCCCATAGGCCCCCAAGAGGCCTCCAAGACGGCCCAAGAGGCCTTCAGAAGGAGGGCTCCCAGGAAGGCCCGAGGGAGGCAAACATAATTGATGTTCGTTAGGTTTTTGAGCGATTTTTGCATTTGCTTCTTTTCGGCTTTCCAACGACCCGAGACGGCCCAAGAGGCCCCAAAGATCGCCGTAAGATCGCCCAAGAGGCCTCTACAATGTCTTCAGAACGGTCCAGAAGGCCTCCAAGACGGCCCCAAGAGGGCCGCAAGACTGCCCAAGAGGCCCCCAAGACGCCCAAGATGGCCTTCAAGACGGCCCTGGAGCACCCCAAGAGGGCCCCAAGTCGGTTCAGAGAGGCCCCCAAGACGCCTTCCGACGGCGTCTTTGGGACCTCGAACACTCTAAGACGGCCAAAGAAGCTCCCAAGAAGCCACCAAAGGCCCCCAAGAGGCCCAAGGAGGTCCCAAAGAGGCCTCCAAAAGGCTCCCAAGAAGCTCCCAGGAGGCCCCAAGAGTTCCGCAAGTGGCTCCTAAGAGGCCTCCTCCTTCTTCTCCTTCTTCTCCTCCCTCTCCTCCTCCTCCTCCTCCTCCTCCTCCTCCTCCTCATCCTACCCCCACGTGTTCCCCGAGGAGTTTCCACAACTGGCTGGGGGAACACATGGTCCAATAGCTTGGCCGACCTTTGCCCAAACGTTTGGCCCCATAGGCGTATCCGAAAAGGCAGAGGGCGGCGGTGATTCGCCGTAAGCGTCTTCGATCCGCTGCCCTGTTGATTTACCACAGGGGCGCCTGGCGTGCAAAAGGTCTGGCGTTTTTTAGCTCTTTTTGGAACTCCCTCGGGCTTCGGCCCAGCGCGCCGGCCACCCGGAGAGCTCCTCAAAATCTGCTGGCCAATGTCTTTCCCGCTCCAAGACGGCCCCAAATAGCGTCCAAGACGGCTAAGATGGCCCCAAGACGGCCCAAGATGTCCTCCGGACGCTTCATGAGGCCTCGAAGACGCCCCAAGCGGGCTCCAAGTTGACATCTAGGAGGTCAGAATTCTTGATTGTCCGTCGGTTTTTCACTGATTTTAGTATTCTCGCCCCTTCGGGCTTCCGACGCCCCAAGATCGCCCCAATACGGCCCTGGAAGTCCCCGAGAGGCCCCCAAGTCGGCCCAAGAGGGCACTAAGGCAGCCCAAGAGGCCCTCAAGATGCCCCTAAGAAGTCCCCAGGAGGTCCCAGGAGATCCCTAAGAGGCCCCAGGAGGCCCCAGCATACCCCCCCAAAAGCTCTCAGGAAGTTCCCAAGAGCCCCAAAAGGGCCTCAAGAGGCCTCCTCTTCTTCCTCCTCCGCCTTCTGATTCCTCTCCTCCTCCTTTCTCGCCCTCTCCCCAGTGTTCCCCCAAGGGGGTCCACAACGGTTGGGGGAGCACATAATCCAATAGCTTGGCCTGACTCTGGCTCAACGTTTGGCCGCATGGGCGTTTCCAAAAGGCAGGGAGCGGTGGTGATTCGCCCGCCGTTGGTCTTCGATCCGCCGTCCAATGTTGATTTATCACAGGGGTGCCCGGCGTGCTTAAATTCTGATGGCTTTTGGTTCGTTTTTAAACTCCCCCTGGGGATGCGGCCCAACGCGCCGGCCACCCAGAAGGATCCACTCCGCTGGCACAATCGCCTCCTCGACGGCCAAGATGGTGTCCAAGATGCCCCCAAGACGCTTCCAAGACGGCCAAGATGGCCCCAAGAGAGTCCAAGATGGCCCCAAGGTGCACCCAAGACTGCCCAAGATGCACCCAAGACGGCCCCAGATGGCCAAGACGGAGCCCCAAGACGGCCCAAGAAGTTTTCAAGACACCCAGGATGGCATCCAAGACGGCCCTGAAGCGCTCAAGGAGGCTCTAAGACGGCCTCGAGAGGCCCCCAAGACGGCTTCTGACAGCGTCAGACGGGCTAGGAACGCCCTAAGACGGCCAGAGTGGCCTCCAAGGAGCCCCCCAAGGCCCCCAGGAGGCCCCCAGGAGGTCCTCTAGAAGACTCAAGAGGCCCCCCAGGAAGCTCCCAGGAGGCCCCAAGCGTGCCCCAAGAGGCTCTCGAGAGGGCTCATCCTCCTAATTCATCCCTTTTCCTTCTACCGCGGAGGCCAGTCCACAAGAAACCTTCCACAAGACACCCAACCCTGAGACCCCAGGACGTCCCTTGATTTTTGGCGTGGGAACGTCGCGCCTTCCATGGCAGAACCATCGAAACCCAAGACACCCAGGGCACCCTGGAGGCAAGCCCCCGATAGAAAGCAACTCCTCCCCGTCGCGTCCTAAGGCGCGTCGCCAGGGCGGGCTGGGTGCTTCGACGGAGACTTCCTCTCGCCCCGTGTGGTCCTTAAGAGCTGATGCTTTGCAACCGCTCCACGGGTGGTGGGCGGGTGGTTTTCAACATGTGGCCATCGCCTTAGCGCCGCGCGCAGTCGTCCTAAAGCACTGCAGACGTTTCGCAGATGGAAGGCGGTCGGTGTTCAGAATGTGGCTTTCGCATTCGCGCCGCGCACACACTCGTCCTAAAAGTTCGCGAGAGTTTCGCGGATGGAGGGTGGGTGGTTTTAAACTGTGGCCCTCGCCTCAGCACCGCGCACATTCGTCCTAAAAGTCTGCAATAATTGCACGGATGGAGGGTGGTACCCTTGCAACATGTGGCTCTCGCCTTGGCACCTTGCACATTCGTCCTATGAGTTTACAGCAATTTCAATGATTCGTCTGGCTGTTTCAAAAATGGTCTGTTTCAAAAATGGTATGGCACGATGCAAGACTCTCAGGTCGCAACAATTACGCTGATTCGCGGTGTTGAAGTCCCAGGACGGTATTCTGGCACGATTCAGGATCGTCAGGACGCAACAGTAACGTTGATTCGAGGCGTTGAAGTCCCAGGAATGTTCTGGCGCGGTCCAAGATTTTCGGACGGTTGTCATCCAACGGGGCATTTCCCTCAGTGACAATGAATTATACTAGGGGCCTGCGAAGAGGGAACTTTGGGGGAGGGTTCATTGCAACATTGTTGAGGAGGTTTTGGGTTTACACTGGTCCTCCTCCTCCTCCTCCTCTTCTTCCTGCTTCTCCTCCTCCTCCTCCTCCTCCTCCTCCTACTACCTCTCCTGACCCTCCCCCCTATCCTCCCTCAGGTGTTCCCCGAAGGACTTCCAGAGCGGCTGGGGCAAAACATAGTCCGATAGCTTGGCCAAGCTGGGGCCCTACGAATGGCAACAGAGGCGTTTCCCAAACAGGCAGGGGGCGGCGGTGCTTCGCCGCAGACGTGTTCGATAATCAAAGTGAAACCTGAAATCGCCGGAGAGCCCCCAGAGAGCCCCCAGAGGGCCCCTACAGAATTCCAAGCAAGCCCTCAACAATATCACACCAGGAACCTTTGGTATGACACTGCTGCGGGCTGTTTCGGGAGCCCTCATGGCCGCATGGGGCCTCTCAAGCCTTTCAGAGCCTCTTGGGACTCTCAGAGAGCCTGGAGAGAGCTCCAAGAAGCCTTCAAAAGAGCCCTGAGAGAACTCCAGGAGGGTTCCCAGACGGTCCCCAACAATATCATACCACGGCACGACGGCGCGATGGGCCGTGGGCCACCACGGAAATCCAAGAGGGGCTTGAAATCGCCCGAACGCCCCCAGAGAGCCCCCAGAGGGCCCCCACAGAGTTTTTCAAGAGACGACCAGGCGCGCCTCCCAGATGGTCAGGCTGGCGCTGCGTTGCGGCCAAGACGATCCACTATGGCCTCAAAGACGGCGAAGATGACCCCATCCGACCTAAGATGGCCGCAAGATGCCTCCAAGACGGTCCCGGATGGCGGCAAGAGGCCACGCCACCATGAGGCCTGAGGAGGCGCCGAAAAGGCACCCAAGAGGTCTCCTCCTCTTCCTCCTCCTTGTTGTCAGCGGGCTTCAGGGGAACTCTTCGGGGCGTCTGGTCCCAACCTTTCCGAACACTTCCAGCAATCGCCTTCATCCAGGGGGTCTTCCTTCCTGTGCCGGCGGCGCCGGCCATGAGGCTCGCACGATACAGTCCGAGGCGTGGATGGACCCCGTGTGCAGAGTCGTGCGACCCTCTCTGCAGGCAGTGCAACTGGAACTGCCCTTTGCATCCTGATATTTGCCCACTTCACAGCGGTCGCAATGCGTCTGACCTGAGGTCGGGCATGTCCTCCTACAGGCGGACTCTGGCCGAAAAATGATACATACGAGTAACATGCTCCAAACTAACTAGAAATGATCGAAAATCGTCCTCACACTATTTTCTGACTATTCCCACCAGCCCTCTGGGCGTCGGTGGTTTAGGGCGTTTCCTCTTCCACCCCTCCCTCTTCCCCTTCGGGGAGGGGTTTACCCCTCCCCCTAGCCCCTCCCCGTGGACCTGGCCGGGGGGGGGGGCGCGAGCGGTCAGAGCGTCCAAAACGGCCTCGGCGAGGAAGCCAACATCATTGATTTTACTAGGGTTTTGGCCCCATTTTGGCCCCGTGATGGGGGCAACCCTAATTGAAGCTCCCCTCTTCTTTGATCGATGTCCTCCAAGATGGCCCCAAGAGGCCCCCAGGAGGCCCCCAAGAGGATCCCAAGCGGCCCAAAGAGGCCCCCCCGAGGCACCCAAGACGCCGAAAAACCCCTCAGGACGACCCTCTACTCGCCTGGGCGTCGTTTCTGGATGGGATGGTAGGGATATTTTTTGTTGCCAGCCGCAGGCGAGCGCGCCGATGGCGTGTCAAGGTCCGAGCGGGCCGCGCAAGGGCCTAAATTACCTAGCAAGAGCAGGGGAAGCCTACCGCCGAGCCTCAGCCTAGGACCAGGAAGAAACCGAGAGGGGGGGGAGGGGGGGCTGTGGGCTGCTGACTGCCAGGGGCTGCGAACGTGCGACAACCTGAGGCTGCCAGGGGCTGCACACTGCCAGGGGCTGCCAGGAGCTGCGACCTGAGAGCTGGACGACCAGGTGTGAATTGAACTGCAAAAAATTAATCAACCGCTGCGGACTGCACAGGCTGCCAGGGTGGTCTGAACCGTGGAGGTCTGAACCACCGAGTAGACGAATTGAATCCACGTGAATTGGCCAACCGAAGCTGGAACGCAGCCAAAATGGCGCGCAGTAGCACCAGAATGTGACCAGGGTGACGGCGAACCGGTGTACAGACTGCCCGGGGTGCCCACCTTGGACTAGCAGGTGCGGGTGGTGGCGCCGCCGAAGTCGCACACCAAATCCCCGCGCTGGTGGGGGGTACTTTTTGTCGGCAGCCGCAGGCTAGAGCGCCAGCTGCGAGTCAGGGTCCGAGCGGGGCGCGCGAGGGCCTAATTAATCAGGAGCAAGCACCAGGAGGAAGACGAAGAGGGCGGCGAGGCTGCTGCACTGCCAGGGGTTGCACGCATGCAACGAGCTGCAGAGGGGGCTGACTGCCAGGGTGGCCGACTGCCAGGGTCTGCAAGCTGCTGGTGAATTGGATGCAGAGGGCGTGAGCACCCGAGGGACTGCAAGACTACCAGGGTGGCCAGAGCCAGGTGGACCGACGTCTAGAATTTTGGATATTCCTCCTATAGGGGACAGGCCCAACTTAAGTCTGACCTCGCTGCTCCTGGAAATCGCCGGCGAGACACCTGGTGCACTCCGCGGCGCCCCTCTCGTCCGAGAATGTGCCGCTCTCGCATTCGACCTCGCTCGTGGAGTTCTCGTTCGCAATGTAGCCTGGTATGGATGGTGTACATGCGGTCTCGCCTGTCGAAAAAGAAAAACCACATAAACATAAACTTTTGGCGCGCCGCGCGGATCTCTTGGATCCGCGCTGGACCCCCCTTCCCTGGCGCGCGGAGCGCGCCAGGGGGGGCGGCGCCGGAGACACCGCCGGGGAGCCCAGCGCGGATCTAAGAAATCCGCGCGGAGCGCCAAAAGTTTATGTTTATGTGGTTTTTCATTCTTCGAGTCTCACCCGTCGAGTTTGTGTACGAGCCCGCGGGACAGGGTGTCTGCGCCATGTAGGGCAGAAGCTGGCCCGCTGTCATCTTGGGGACGTAGTAACCGAGGCCTGCTGGCACGCACTCGCCCTCGTACCAGTACGCACCGCTAGTGCAAGACGCCGCCCTGCCCAGCGGGAAGCCGCCATCGAAGAGCGGGCCCTCGCCGCCCGGCTTGAAGCACGCATCGCCGGGGTAGTCCATGGAGCACGAGGCCAAATCTGAGGTTACCAAGTATACCACGGCGTCAGACAGTTGGTCAGGCACCATGGCGACATCGGTGGCCTTCACCGTGCCACTACTGCTGTCCAGGTAGAAATTCTTCACCACGTAGGGCAAATTGCGCCCCTGGTCCTCATTGAACGTCAGGAGGCCATTTGACAGGCATTCACCGTAGGTGATGTCGCCCACGAGACTTTTCAGCATCTGTTCCAAC